CATGTTCTTAATACATTTTAGACAGTTAACAGCAAGACGACAGGATAGGAGACAGCTGGGATCAGTAAAAGAAGCAGCCTTTTAATTGGTTGCTTTGAAGAACTTTGAGAAGCTTGAGCCCATTTTATTCTCCAGTGCCAAGCCTCATTTCTTCCACCTGAGATAAAATGAGATCTATGAAAATATATCCCATGCGTAGCTATGGATATTACCTGACTGCATGTCCAAGGTGGCCTGCAATTTAGGGGGGCAGTAAATGGCATTTGCCGTGGTTCGAGCAGAGGTTAAGGCAGCTCTGGCTTTCGGTAGGTTGCTCAGAGCATGATACGTTTTACTTTCTAAAAGCTGTACTTCCACCAGGAGGGCTTTGTCATCCATCTTTTTTAACTCCCGCAGTAACTGAGAACCTAGAAATGAAAAAGATACATAGTCCTGTTAGTCATAAACTTAATACCCTAATATTGTAACATCTCAGTCTCCCACCCTTATAAGAATACCCAGGATAAAGAAACCCACGTGAACTCAAAAACAGGTTACCTAATAGGTCTCATAATGAAATTAAATTCCCCACTACTTTGCTATCTTCCAAAAGAGAAATACAGATCTCTGTGAAGGTTTCTGCATCCTAAGGACAACCCTGGAGGAAAGAAGTCTATAAACTTATTCCTAAGATTTAAATGCAGTGTGGACCTTAGTCAGAGCTAGTTCTCTAAGTTCAGACTGATGTATCAAATCCAAGCAGATTCACATCATACACAAAAATTCACTCAAAATGTATCAAAGACATACAAGGTAAGAGCTATAACTGCAAAAATTTCCAAAGAAAACATAGAAGTAAACCTCTGTGACTCTGGATTAGGAACCAAGTTCAAAATGTTTTCTTAAATATGATATCAAAAGCATAAGCAATGAAAGGAGAAAAAAAAAAAGATAAAGGGACTTCATCAAAATTAAAATGTGCTTCAAAAGACACCATCAGGAAAGTGAAAAAATCTACAAAATGGGAAAAACAATTTTCAAATCAGGTATCTAGTAAGGCACTCATATCCAGAATAAACAATAAAAACACAACTCAATTAAAAAATAAATATGAATAAATATTACTCCAAAAAAGATATACACGTGGCCAGTAAGTATATGACTAATGCTCAAAATCATGTCATTTGGGAAAAAACCAATGAGATACTACTTCACACCCATTAAAATGGTGAAAATAAAAAAGACAGTCAATAACAAGTGTCGGGCAAGGGTGTGAAGAAATTGGAACCCTCATACATTGTTGGTGGGCTTGAAACATGGTGCAGCTGCTTTTGAAAACAGTTTTGCAGTTCCTCAAAAAGGTAAACATAAAGTTACCATTTGTCCCAGCAATTCCACCCCTAAATATATACCCAATTGAAAATGTATGTCCACACAAAACCCATTCGCAACAATATTACTGTAACAGCCAAAAAGTGGACACCACCCAAATGTGCATCAATCAATGAAAGGGTAAACAAAAGACAATAAAATGTTACTCTACAATGAAAAGGAAGGAAGTACTCATATATGCTGTAACACAGATGAACCTTGAAAAGACTGTGCTAAGTGCAAGATGCCAGTCACAAAAGACAACATGTTGTATAATTTTACTTATATGAAATTACTGTATGTGGCACAGTGAATTACTTGGTATGGGTTTTCTAACTAGTCTTTGTGACTCCCAACAGATTACTGGATGGGACCATGCAATTAGGTATATGGAACTCTAATGTGGGGATTGGTTAGTTTTGTCATTCTGCTAGGCTTAAAAACGAGCCTTCTAAGAAGCAGAAAGGGGGAGAGAAGAACCGGAGTTGGAGTGCAGCATGTCCTCAGACCCAAAATCCCTGCATTGGACCTCCTTCACGGAAAGATGGCAGAGACAACTGGCACAGGAACCAAGAGGCACAAGACAGGGCACCAGCCTGCTGGCCCAAGGAGCGAGAAAGCTGTGTGCCCTTGGGCAGGAGGCTTGCTGGCAGAGTGGGGTGCACCTAGGTGTACCTATAAGCAGAGCTAAAAGAGCTTTCCAACACTTGCTCAACCAGGGCAGAGGCTACCCAAAAAGGGCAGGAGCCAAAGAGGCATGCCTAAGGGCATAGCGGAGGGGAGACTGTCCTGATCGAAGAATTGTATCCAGAGCACATTCCTGAACCCAAATTGTAGCCTGTTACCTTCATAATAAACCCTATAATCATGAGTATTGTCTGTGAGTTCTGTGTGACCACTGCAATGAATTATCAAACCCAGCAGAAAAGTAGTGAGTGCCGTGGGAGGGACGGCTGATGTCAAAATTGGTAAAAAGGCTGAAGGGTGGTGGCATGTTTGGCCGCATAGGAATAAGCCTTGGGCTACTGATGGTGACACTGCTTCCCCCTTGTGAGGTTGAAGGAAATCAGAGGATACCGCCTCCATGCCCTTTTTGCACTATAAGAGACAAATCTATAGAGACAAAAAATGGATTAGTGATCGCCTACAGTGCAGGCTGGGGGTGGGGAAAAAGAGGACAAAAAGGGGGGTTAGGAACTAATAGGATCTGACTACTAATGGGTATGGGGTTCCTTCCTGGGATGAGGAAAATGTTCTGAAATTGGATAGTGATGATGGCTGCACTACTCAAAGAATATCCTAAAAACCACTCAACTGGACACTTTAAGATGCTCAATTTTATGGTATATGAATTCTATCTCAACAAAGCTGTTATTTTTTTTAATGCTACTAACAGGTCAAACCATATGAAATTGCCATTTCCCTAACCTGAAATCCATGTTTTTCTAAGAAAAAAAGTTCAATCTACTCATTAATAATAAAGCAAGAAGCAGGGTAATAAATCAGGGTGTTTAAAAACAAGTTCTTCGCAGTTCAGTCACAGCCAAGGAAGCAAAATCACAATGTGTGTTGTTCTGCACAGTCCTGCCAATAAAGCAATCTCACACATCAGGCTCCTGAAGGGGCTCACTGTGCCTCATCCAAGCCTCCCATTCCAGAGCTCTGACCCACAATTTTTCCCGTTCTAGTTGGCATTCCAGATCACCCATATTTTAAACATTCAGGTCTGTTTCAGTTTCACTTCATTGGCCATAAATGAACCAGTTCAAAAACCTAATTTAAAGGGCACATAGCAAAAAGCCTTCAGGTAGTCCACTCTAACTTCTATATATATATCTTAATTTCTGAATTTTTAAGTACAGTTATAAACAGATGTAGTAAATGTGATATCCAGAAAACATTTTCAATGAAAACAACTAGCTCTGAAATTTAAGACAATATTATATGAAAAATGAAGACAGACCTTGAAAAAAATTCAATGTTACAGTGGGATACATTTAACTCTCTAAAATTCAAGTGAACTTAAAAACTGTCCCCTTCTGATCTCTAAATTTGGCAGATTAACTCTAGCTAGTTTCTTAAAATTTCCAAATGGCATTTTTCCATGACAGATTCAGTAAATGTAGCCACGTTAAATCTTTCACAGACATAGGCAGAATATAAATCATTATTATGTAATTTATAAGAATAACAGGTTCAGAATACATTCACTTAGCCAGCTAAGATATCTTATTAATTTCTCCCAGCTTACTTACCCAAATGCAATGCTTCCTGGTACCTCTTGGTATCAAAATACAAAGACACCAGTCTTGCCTGGAAAAAAGAAAAGGCATTGATTGATGGGAAGGGGAAAAAAAAAGTCAAAGAAAGAAATCAAAGATTGACAGGCCAGAACTGTTACTGTTGAATATACAAGTCCTGATGACAGCATCAAATTCAGAATAAGAAATGACCTAGGCCACGGTATTATCTTCCATTATGGTCACTGACTAACTACTAACTTTACCATGCTGCTGCTTATCCCTCTGAACCAAGCAGCAGGTCTCTCTAAAAACTTCAATCCAGGCAATTCTCATGTGGGAATACTACTGATAATCTTTGGGTATCTGGGTAATAATATAAAGTTGGTGAAAATACTTGTGATCACGATGGTATTATTTACACTCAGAGTCTGTCTAACTAGTCTAGAACTCAGTGCTAATTTAGGTGCATACCTCCAAAGCTTGGCGTAAGAAAGTTCTTTTCTCTGATTTGGCCCACTCGATGCATTCTAAACACAACTCGACCTGCAATAGAGAGAGACAATATAGCCAACATTATGTGCTCAAATTCTTCCTACAAATCTTGCTTTGACAAACAGGTCTAATTCCCTTCTTGCATATTACCTGTGTAGTGCCACGTAACGTCTTAACAGGAATGCCCATCTTAATGTGCAATAGTTCTATTATAATGGTCAAACAGCTTGGCATTTTACACAAAAATTATCTTTATGCTTAGATTGTGTTCTTTTAGACAACAGACTCATCTTTGAGACTTCTCTTCTACCTTCCCAGAAGAGACTAAGAACTTCAAAAAACATATAGCACCCTGGAATGAAGTTTCTACAGGGCTTAGGAATTTTTAAAGCAGAAATTTCTCCCTGAATAGTTTGAAACAGTAATGGCAATGTAATGGGAATACACTGGTAATAAAGGGGAGAGATTTCTCAGCCTAAGCACAAACGCCTTGTTTCAAAAGCTGCTTTTAAGACTCAAAAGGTTCAGCTAACTATTTTTCTCCCATATTCTAAGAAGTGCAAGTAACCAATTCATCATCACTATTGTAACTTGTATTAAAAGGAGTAAAAAGAAATCAGAATTAGTCTATCACTTAAAAGGGCTTTCCAGCTTTATTTAAGGGCACTAGCAACCCACAAATGAATCTGCCACCCAAGCAATGATGTAAGGTAAAAGGTATCTAATTTAAAAGAAGCAATGGCTTATGCTACATGGTACAGCATTTCATCAGGTGTCCCTGACAGAAGACATATTAAGTACTGTAGATCTTACATCATTTCTGTTATTACAGGTTTGTATTAAGATTCCTAAGCAGGGTATAAAACAGAAATGAAGTGACAAAGTGGAATTTCCAGATAACTGATTGCTAATATAACAGGTTTTTATATAAATCCAAAGATCTCTTAAGAGACACTGTAAGAAAACTAAAGGGCCACAACCCAAATTGGCAAGATCGTCCATCTTTAGATCCTAAGTCTAAGCTCAGTCAGTAAATAAGTTTATGACATTCTATGGTTATCTGGAGGCTTTACCAGTAAGAGACTCTATGAAACTTTCATAACTCTTCTTTGGAGCCCCCTGGTGGCTACCTAATCTCTAACATCAACTGACCTCATAAAAATACTACTAAAAACTGTATATTTCTAAGACAGAACTAAAAAAATAAAAGCAAGACAATCACAATTTCAGAGTTTCATATTCTGAAAACCCAAACTTAAAGATCTCTGTTCATGAAATTAATGCAATTGAAAATATTTAATGTATTTTATTATCAAAGAAAATATAATACTTCACCCCACATGCCTTGGCTGGCTAAGAAATGCTCATCATCACAAGTCACCCAATGAACATTTTCAAACTATACAAAAATGAAAGCCTGGGTTCCTGATTTAGTGGCATGGATTAGAGCTTAGCAATTCTGATGATATCCCTAACTAAGAAACAGTGGATTCTACTCCTGCATCTCACCTTCCTCTATTTCCCTGATAGTGCAGATGTTGAATATTAAATATCTGACCAAAGGTCACACAGCAGCTGTTGGAACAACTCATCCTACCGCCATGCTCTTTCTATCTCAATCCAGCTTTAAATTCATGTCAGAATAGGCAATTCTCTCACAGCAAGGGTTTTTGTTTGTTTGTTTACAGCATGAACTGCCTATCAATTACAGGATGGATACATGATTTGTATTACACGGCATTTTAACTGGATGAAGCCAGCACCTCAATTCTAGGGAGAAATGTAACAAGCCACTGCCCTTGCTACACAGCTATTTTGTCTGAGTGGCTTTGTGCTTTGTTAATGCTAACAATGACTGATAAAGAGTAAAAATATACAAAAAGCCTGTGCTTCTGGTGGAAGGCCTTTACTTGAGTACAAAAAGCTTGAAGTGGTCAAAATTAGATGTTTAAGTTTTAAATCAATATACTTAACCATTTTTTCAAATTAGCATTCCAAGTCTGAAATTCTATCACACAAACCCCTTTTTCCATTGAAACAACTGTTTTGACAGCATGATTTCTGATGTACAATTTCTCAGAAATGTGATACCATGTTTTAGTTCGGTAGACTATACCAAGCAGTGGCTTCCTGTAGGCAACTCCCTAGAAGCCCCTGGAAGATAACATTAATTCTGAAAGTTCAGCTCACTATTTGGCAAGGGTCTGATTCAACCTTCTCTCTCTCCTCCTCCCTCTATTTCTCTACTTCCCACCCCTTACCAACCACCTTATCCTCATCTCCCCTACTCCTATTCTCCCACACATATATTCTCACTCTCTAAGCTCTACACCTTACTACTAGGATTTATCTGATCTTAACCTAATTCATTTCAGCTTTGGGAATATAACAGGCTGAAGAATATTCTATAGATGTATCTGGCTTTGATCAGTCCCCAGTAGAAAAAGGCAAGGAAAATGCCTTCTTTCACACCATTAGTGCCAAACTCTTTAATACAAAACCCCAGGCTTCCTTAATGAAATTCTAAAGCTTCGTATTTTGCCCCAGGCCTCAACACTACTATGACAGTGATCTACCCAAGACTCTTTCCTCAGTCCTTTTCCTTCAGCTAAGCAAAGAATTTTAAATGAACCAACATCATTCCAAGATGAAGATGATATCCAAATTCCCCAAGTCGGAGACCTTAAATCATCTAGACAAATACAGTAACAAAGCATCATGCTTACATCTCTATTCAATAAACTTACATCCTAATTCAACAAAGTATGTTCTCATCATCTACCATGAGGAAGGCATAATCCATACATGAATGAATCCACTCATTCCTTTAACTATACTGTATTAGTGATGTAGCTCCTTTAAGCTATTCTAAGTGCTAGAGTACAGCAGCAAAGTGGACAAAGTAGTTATCAAGATGTAAGCAAAGATCTAAAATGATGTGAAGAAAAGTCCTCTTAAGATTGGGTAGAAACATGAGACCAGAAGAACTAGATGGTGCCCAGCTACCACTGCCATCCACTTGGAAGGGATGTAGGAGAAATCCTGCATAAAGAGGGAGAACAATGTGGAACAAAACTCAAAA